CCTCTACGGATGTTGGTGATCTGACACTAACTAAAAGCGAAACAAAAGAAGTGCCATGGTCAGATCACTTCCTGGTGCAACTGGACTTCTCTGCGACCCTTCCCCTCTGCAGGGAGGTGGGACCGATTCGGATGGTCCACCCCCGCCACTTAATGGATCCAATTGGCTTCCAGAGAGTGGTAGAGGATGTTTTATGCCAAGTTGATGGCCTTTCAGCTGATTCCCTGGTGGCATGCTGGAATGCGGAGTTAACCAGGCCTATTGGCTGTCTGGCTCCGGTTTCCCCCGGAGCTGAGGGCGATGAAACAATCATTGAGACGGCTAGAGCGCCGGTGGCAGAAAACTCATTCTGAATCAGACCGGACACGGGCTAGAGCTCAACGTCGAGCCTACCAAGCGGCAATGGCAACAGCGAAGAGGGCCTTCTTCGCCGCCTCCATTGCATCTGCAGAAAACAGCAGCAGGAGACTTTTTTAGGTGGTTTGCAATCTATCGGAACCACCTGTACCACCGGGGCCTGGTAGGGACCCCAAGATCTCCTGCAATGCTTTTGCAAAGTTTTTTGCAGATAAAGTCGCTCAGATTCAGAAGGAGGTAGACTCCACCGTGGGAGCAGGGCCAGGGCGGGAGAGTGCTAGAGTTCTGTCTGGTCCTGTTACATGGGATCAATTCCAATCTGTTACCTCCGAGGATGTGGAACAGGCTGCTTGGACAAGTGAAACTGACCACCTGTCTACTTGATCCTTGCCCATCCTGGCTGATAAAAGCGAGCCAGGAAGGGCTGGGCGATGGGCTCTGCAGGGTGGTGAATGCTTCCTCTGTGAGGGAGCCTTCCCAGACCCGCTGAAAGAGGCAATCATTAAACCGCTTCTTAAAAAAACATCTTTAGACCCGGCCAATTTGGCCAACTATCACCCAGTCTCAAATCTACCATTCTTGGGCAAGGTGATTGAGTGGGTAGTTGCCGGATGCGGACCATTTGGATCCCTTCCAGTCGGGATTCAGGCCTCATCATGGGACTGAAACTGTCTTGGTCGTGCTGGTTGATGATCTCCGGCGGGCTAGGGACAAAGGTGAGAGCTGTTTCCTAGTTCTGCTGGATCTCTCAGCAGCCTTTGACACCATCGACCATAACATCCTTCTGGACCATCTAGAGGGGCTGGGAGCTGGGGGCACTGTTATACGGTGGTTCCGCTCCTTTCTCCAGGGCCGTGTCCAGAAAGTGGGGGGGGGATGAGTGTTCAGACCCCTGGGCTCTCACTTCTGGGGTGCCTCAGGGTTCCGTCCTCTCCCCCATGCTTTTTAATATCTATATGAAGCTGCTGGGAGAGATCATCAGGGGGTTTGGACTGGGTGTTCATCAGTATGCAGATGACCCCCAGCTCTACCTCTCCTTTAAATCAGAACCAGTGAAGGCGGTGAAGGTCCTGTGAGAGTGCCTGGAGGCGGTTGGAGGATGAATGGCGGCTAACAGATTGAGGTTGAATCATGACAAGACAGAAGTACTGTTTTTGGAGGACAGGAGGCGAGCGGCTGTGGAGCACTCCCTGGTCCTGAAAGGGGTAACTGTGCCCCTGAAGGACCAGGTGCGCAGCCTGGGAGTCATTTTGGACTCACAGCTGTCCATGGAGGCAAAGGTTAACTCTGTGTCCAGGGCAGCTGTCTACCAGCTCCACCTGGCACCCTATCTGCCCGCGGACTGTCTCGCCAGAGTGGTGCATGCTCTAGTTATCTCCCGCTTGGACTACTTCAACACGCTCTATGTGGGGCTACCTTTGAAGGTGACCCGAAAACTGCAATTAATCCAGAATGCGGCAGCTAGACTGGTGATTGGGAGTGGCCGCCGGGACCACATAACACCGGTTCTAAGAGATCTGCATTGGCTCCCAGTACGTTTCTGAGCACAATTCAAAGTGCTGGTGCTGACCTTTAAAGCCCTAAACGGCCTCGGTCCTGTATACCTGAAGGAGCGTCTCCACCCCCATCGTTCAGCCCGGACACTGAGATCCAGCGTCGAGGGCCTTCTGGCGGTTCCCTCATTGCGAGAAGTGAGGCTACAGGGAACCAGACAAAGGGCCTTCTCGGTAGTGGCGCCCGCCCTGTGGAACGCCCTCCCATCAGATGTGAAAGAGATAAACAACTACAGTGGTGCCTCGCAAGACGAAATTAATTCGTTCCGCAAGTTTTTTCTTCTTGCGAGTTTTTCGTCTTGCGAAGCACGGTTTCCCATAGGAATGCATTGAAAATCAATTAATGCATTCCTATGGAAACCGCTTGCCAGGATGGCAGTGTGGAGAAGGGCTTTTCTCCCCACCGCAAGCCTTCAGGACAGGTACGGGAACAGAGGGGAAGGGGCACAGTGCTTCTCTTCTGTTCCCGGGGCTTGCGGTGGGAGGAGGGTATTTCCTCCCCACCGCCAACATTCAGAACAGCATTCTGAATGTTGGCGGTGGGAAGGAAAACCCTCCTCCCACCGCAAGTCTTCAGGACAGCTATTCCGAAGGAGGAGCCTTCCGAAGGCTGGTGACGGGAGGAGGTCTCTCCGCCCCACCGCCAGCCTTCGGAGCATCCTTCCGAAGCCTGGCGGCGGGAGGTGGTCTTTCTGCCCCACCGCCAGGCTTCGGAGCAGCCTTCCGAAGCCTGGCGGCGGGAGGTCTCTCCGCCCCACTGCCAGGCTTCGGAGCAGCCTTCTGAAGCCTGGCGGCGGGAGGAGGTCTCTCCACCCCACCGCCAGCCTTCGGAGGAGGTCCGAAGACAGTGGGGAAGACGCGCTGCGCTTCCCCTCTGTCCCGGAGATTTCCCTATGGGCTTTCATCTTGCGAAGGAAGCCCATAGGGAAATTCGTTTTGCAAAGCGCCTCCAAAACGGAAAACCCTTTCGTCTAGCGGGTTTTCCGTCTTGCGAGGCGTTCGTCTTGCGGGGCACCACTGTACCTGACATTCAGAAGACATCTTAAGGCAGCCCTGTTCAGGGAAGTTTTTAATATGTAACGCTGTACTGTTTTTAACACTTGATTGGGAGCCGCCCAGAGTGCCTGGGGAAACTCAGCCAGATGGGCGGGGTATAAATAATAAATAATTTATTATTATTATTATTATTATTATTATTATTATTATTATTATTATTTCACCCATTATTTATGTTTAATCAAATATTCTATGTATGTTTTAATCTACAATTGGTTCTTGCTCCCATTTATTCAATAATTGTTCGCTTAGATTCATACTGTTATGCTATTTGGGGATGAGGGACCAACTCCCTTCTCTTGCGGGGGCCCAATTAGTGCCATTGCCTTCCGTTAAGAGTTTGGGTGTAATCCTTGACGCCTCCCTTTCCATGGAGGCGCAAGTTACAGCAACAGCCAAGGCGACATTTTTCCACCTTCGCCACATCAAGCAGTTGGTCCCTTACCTTTCCCGCCTCGACCTGGCCACAGTGATCCATGCGACGGTCATCTCCAGGCTTGACTACTGTAATTTGCTCTACGCGGGGCTGCCCTTGAAGCTGTCCCAGAAACTCCAGCAGGTACAGAATGCTGCAGCGAGGCTCCTCACGGGGTCTCTGCCATGGGAGCATATTCACCCAGTGCTTTTCAAGCTGCACTGGCTCCCGGTGGAGTATAGGGTCAGATTTAAGGTGCTGCTTTTGACCTTTAAAGCCCTTCACGGCCTAGGACCCTCGTACCTACGGGACCGCCTCTCCCGGTATGCCCCATGGAGAGCCTCAAGGTCCATAAATAGCAACACCCTAGTGGTCCGGGGCCCTAAGGAAGTTAGATTGGCTTCAACCAGAGCCAGGGCTTTTTCAACTCTGGCTCCGGCCTGGTGGAACGCTCTGCCTCATGAGACCAGGGCCCTGCAGGATCTGATTTCTTTCCGCAGGGCCTGTAAGACAGAGTTGTTCCGCCTGGCCTTTGGCTTGGAGCCAATTTGATTCCCTCCCTCCCTCCCTTTCTTTTTTCTTTTCCTTCTCCTCCTGCAATGAGGCTACATTTTAATATTTTAATGTTTCAATATTTTAATGTTGTATTTTATTTTTGTTTTTAAGTTGTAATCATTCTTCTTGTTTTTATTATTGCTTGTAAGCCGCTCTGAGCCTGGCCTTGGCTGGGGAGGGCGGGGTATAAATAAAAAATTATTATTATTATTATTTTATTTATTTATTTATTTAGGTTATGCTGGTTTGTGGCAGAATAAAGTTAGACGTTCAGCAATGCTTCCAAGGGACCTACGCTGAGAGCACTTTGCCACTTTTCGCCCTTTGCAGAGGATCAGCAACCTCCAGCAGATATGAGCTGCAAGGTTATGATGATACCACAAGCCCTTCTTGATTACCATGCAGGAAGGCCTGTTTCTCCAGCACTGCATCTCATGCTTGCCATCATAAAATGAACTGTGTACAAACCGTGTACTAAAAAACATGCACACACATGTAAAACGTATTATTCACTGCAGGGTGGTGAAGATCCAGAGGGGGAAATGGAACCCCTCAACTGTCCTCTCCCCTTAACTGCCATTTGGGGGTAGCCATTCCATCAGGTTGCCTCAGTGGTAGAGGTAGGAAGCACGGTTCATTTCATTGGCTTTGCGGAAGACCCTTTTACTGTGCCAGCTGGTCATTACAGCACACCTGTTTAGAAATTGGTGCTTGAGTTTTGGTTTTTAACTTTCCTCTTCCTTCCCTCCCTGTCCCTTTCCCCTTGTGTGTCCTTTCTCCCACCCTCCTGGATTATAAGCCTACAGTGGCACTGTGTTAGCTTGATTGTATGTGAACCACTCTGGGAGCCATTGGCCGAAGAGCACTAAATGATCTAAATGAATAAATAAAACCCAAGTGCAAAATATTACTTTCAGATTAAATAAACATTTGTTGGCTGCATCGGGAAATCCATTCAATTTTTGCAAACTAGGTTAGCGTTAAAGAAAAGACAAGCTTAGAGGACTGCGGAAATTGCCACCACCCATCAGCCTGACGCAAAACATGAATCTAAGCACAGAAAATATCTGCATACATTGCTTCATTACTACTTTATTGGAGCAGAGGTTAACAAACATGGATGGTATGCTAGGGAACGCTTATTCACATGAAAATTACCATGACATGAAATAAATAAAGCATATTAAAAGTGTAAGCAAAAACTCAAACTATAATTTGTTCCTCTTCTTACAGCTGTGACTATCTGGTGCAACAAGCGACAACCTAGCTTGCAGCCCTCGGAACTGCCTATTCTTGTCAGTAGAATGGTTTCAGGTTGTAGTCCTTGACGGTCTTTGTTTTGCCCGTTCCATGTTTCATAAAATTATAAGCAATAACTGAACAGAATAATTTCTATGGGCTCAGACTACATAGCTATGCTTAGAAGGTCACTTACTCAAAGAACAAAATACCAACCAGCACTTAAGTAGATTTCATACCCCTTTTTCACTGCTCAAAGCATTCCCTGTTCAGCAGATCCATCAAATACAAAGTACAGCACCCCTAGCCTGTGAAGTACATGTGAAAATATGGACGTCTCGCTTTCTAGTTCTGTCTTTTGAAATGAAAGTAATTAATTCTGTGACATTTAGGAGAGGACTGGGGGAAATTTCATTGGTTCTCACACAACATCAACCATGATTTTAATTTAGCTCTCCCCTCTCAAGCCCCACCTATTCTTCAAAATAAATTAACTTGGGAGCCAAACTCTGTGTGAGTTCCTGGTCTCCTGATATGAGTTTGTTTTTTAAAAAAAGGAAAAAAGAAAAAGACACTTTAAAGCAACCTTGGTGCACCCTGCTTTGACTGGCGCAGGGATGCTGGGCTCTAGGGGTGCTAAGCCCTCCCTTTCCCTGCTGTTTCCTCCCACCTATAGTCCCCTCCTGCCATTGACTTCTGTCCCATGGCAGGGGGAAAAAACAGATACAACTGGCCTGCCACTTAAAGCGAGGGTTCTGTTCCAGGTGCCCATGCACAAAAGCAAAGTTGTGCAGTCAGGAACCCCCAGAACTGTCCCTCCCCCCAATACAAGGCAAGGTCTGTTTACCAGGCTCTGGGAGCTTCCCACTATCTTCCCAAATTCTGGCAAGCAAGGAAAAATTGCTGGGTGCACAGGTGGGGGGAAATAAACAGCTGGGAATGGAATGTTTACCTCGCTCTCAATTTATGTATTTACCATCACCACCACCCCAAATATATATATATAAGGTGGGCATAAGATATGGGCCCAACTTTACCTCTCTCATGCCCACATTTCCACCTTACCCTGATGCTAGTAGGGAGTTACTTATTATTAGTAAAGTGACTGGGGTGGGAAGGGCTAAGCACTTCCTCCCAACTCCACTACTATGATTGCCATCTGAGCACCCTGAAACTGCTCTTTCAAAAGGAAAAAGGGGGGAAAAATGAATGGCAGGAAATCTGATAATGGCTCTCCTGTGTAACTTTGCCCTCGGCTGGATAATAAAGGGCAGAAGATTTAGGCAGAATTAAAGGGAGGAGCCATTCAAACCAGGGCACCTGTTATTCTACTCAAAGCATTCCAATAAACCCAAAGGGACCTGCCACAAAAAGGGTCTGGACTGAGAAGCAGAATCTGGCACACAGCATATACTGCCCAATGCTGGATTAAGCTATGCTAATTGCAGAGTTTTCTGATTAAGTGGCATATAAATCTTTCTAAATAAATAAAAGGCTTCTTGCAAAATAAATAATAATAATTTAAAAAAAAAAGCTTGAGTATCTCAAATTGCCACGTCTGCAGTAAATTATAAACACGTTCCTTCTCTGCCTTTTGGATAAATGTTTCATCTCTCACACCATCCCCTTTCTGACATCACTGAGGAGGCACTTTCTTTTTTTAATCTTATAAATTAAACAATTTGTTCAACTAACTCCTTTAACTGTACAGTTACTAGGGAGCATTTTCATATTCTGTGGCTCCCTCCGAAATCGGCAGGGACCATTCACTTCACTTGGCTCAGATTCTGAGTAGACCATTCAACATGGCTTCAATCATGCACTGCAATAACTTTTTTTAATAAAAAAAAAATTTGGTCATTAGTACAGATGTTGAATCTGTTGACCAGTTTTTGCCAAGCTGTGTCTGCCCTCTCGTGCTCTGCCAGCATGCACAGCAGCCCAAGCAGAGCACCCAAATCACCAAATGTGATTTATTTTTAAGTCCTTAAGAGGGCCTAATTTGAGCTTTCAAGAACCACCCCCATCACCCCCCCAAGACCAACCAAGTTAGCATCCTCTTCCAATTTCCCCTCCACAGACTGACTCTGCATATGGATTGAATTGTTTTGACAGGAAACAAAGGGCATCCTTCAGGAATCTGTTTCCACCTATTTTCTCAACAGCAAGTCCCCTGAAAACCAGGAGTTGCAGCAAAACCTCCTGGAGTGAAGAATGTCCCCGTTGCAGGAGCTGCTCATTAACACCAAAAAGGGCTTCCAAAAACTGAAAGTGGCCCCCATCCTATTCCACCCACTTGCTTGTTTCACCATCTCACCAATTCTCTTGCCTCTCCTTCTTGCCCTGACACCACTCTTCTTGCGCTAGCCTTGAAAATTCTCTGCTTTTCATTTATTTCGCACCCATTCTCACCGGTCTTATTAATGTCTACATTCCCCTTATCTGCCTTTGGGTGAGCTTCTTGGAAAGGAGACCCGCCCGAATGGGTGGCATCTGTTGCTTTTACTGCCCCTGGCATGGTGTGATGAGTTTTACATTTCATTTTGTGATGGGACATCTTGCCAGGAGACTCCATCTCTTCACAATGGTTTGCTTTAAAGAACTGTGGTTCATCATCAGACAAATTGTTTCCAGAATATCTCTTTCTGTTGTCCTTCCTACCAGCTTCCCTCTCCTCATCACTAGATGTCCATTTGACTCTTTGTTCTTCACCCCTTACTTTGCTGCTGGTTCTTTTGTATGTTGTCCTAAGCTTTAGCTTGGAGTGCCTTGCTGAGTCACAGTACTCAGAGCGTGAGAAGAAACTGTGTTTGCTGCATTCCATACCTTGAGCACCACAACAATCATTTTGGACAGAAATCGACAAATCTCTCACCATTTTCTGACCGAAGGGTGACACCTTGCAGCCACCACCATTTTTTCTTTCTTTTTTGCTTCGTGACTCATTAAGGGCCTCACTGAAGGATTCAGAATCACTGCTGATCTCTTCCAATACATCCTTCAATTTACTCACACGGCCAACTAGCTTGTGTGATGCCATAGCCACCATTTCAGTGTCTTCTGCTTCAGATTTTCTATCATGAGTTGCACTTACTAGGACACGACTATTCAATTTACCACGCAGCGTTCCTTCTTCAGCCTCATTTGACAGATCTTTGCCCCGATAGTTTTTGGCAAACTCACTAGCACATGCCTGGTATTTTGGCAGAACCTCAGGTTCCTCATCCATTACTTCCCAGTTATCACTACGCCTGGAGCTTTTCTCTTGGGTATTTGGTACACAAATCAAATCCGTCATGCACTGCCTATCTTTGTTCTGCAGGTTAATCTGGAAGCTGTCCTTATTGAAATACACCACCCTCTGCCACTGAGACTTATTCGCTGGGTTATCCACCCTTGGAAAGTCCCGTGCATATTCTGGGGTTTGATAGTAGTTGAGTAAATAATGTGTGAATTCATCAGTTTCATATACCTTGGGCTTCCTGAATTCTCTCTCCCTGGAAGCTTTAGGGAAGCACCCAAATGAGTGGCTGTCATGGGGCCTGTGTGTTACGTAGGTGGTGATGGTTTCAGCAATTGGCCTGTTCAAAGTATTTCTCCAAAACGGATCAGGTAATGCAGGCAACTTAAATGGAATGTGCTGCTGCTGCTGCTGCTGCTGCTTCTCCTCAATAAAAGCATCCGCCGACTGAGCTGATTGACACTTGGATTCTCTCTTATTCTTCGACTCTTGTTGCCCAAGGCAGTTTACTTGTTCCTTTGGTGCATTCTGTATCTGAGATGCAAAGGAGCAATTCTCCCTTTTGATTTCAAGATTCAGCAGAGGGCCCCCTATTTGCTCGGATGCTTGTGCAACGTCCTTGGGGGGGGGGGGGAATAAAAGAAAGAATTATAGTGCAACAGAACAAGGGACTTGAGCAGAAAGCAAATACCGGTAAATCAGCAAAGCCTAATGATAAATGATTTTATGTACAATTTGGGCTAGTCAAAGACCCTTCAGTGCCTAAGACAGGAAATCCAAATGGCATCCACCCACCCAGGTCAAACAACCCAGAATGCACCTGGTGTGTGGCCAGAAGCTCTTGGACTACAACTCCCATCATGTCAAATGGCCTTAGATTGCAGGAGTTGGAGTCCAAGAACAATTGGAGGACAACATGGATGGATTACTTTGTCCTAGTGATTCTACTAAAATGCAGAAGCTGCATAAAAGCATTGTTGTGTTTTAACAGCTCGTCCCCACCCCCATAAAAAGGGACTTATGCATAACCTCCCTGTGGGTTGTACCTCATGGGTGAAATCTGCCTCCCTCCCTGCCAGTCTTAGCAAGACCCAAAATACACGGCTTGGGAAACACACTTAAGACTTCATTCACTGTGGGAGTTTTCTCTGCTGTTTGAGGCGGTTCAATTTTTCCAGAAAGGAAACCTGTGTTTTTTGTTTTTTTAAATGCCAATTCACTTCAAACCACATCTTAAAAGGCTCACAAAGCTGCACAAATCATAGCCTTTAAGATACAAGCCAGCTTGATTTTGCTGTTTTCAGAGGGAAAATAATTATTAATGCAAGTCACTTGCCATGGGCAATAGTCAAATTGCCGGTTTATTTGCTTTCGCTTTTTTAATGATAACTTCGGAGTCGTTCTACTAAAATAATGACCCCCACAAAAGAAAGCGAGTTTCAGCCCCACCTGAATAATTCACAGCAATTTCCTATATGAAAAGAGAACTTCCACTAACAAGCATTTGCATGATCCTTTGTCACACGATGAAAAGGAGAAGTTATCAAAAGCCTTACATCTTGCTGAGGAGTTTACTTAAATCACTTCATTCTCAGAGTCAGCATCTCCCAGCGCACCCAGTTCAGTGCATCAAAATGTGGTGTGCCTTGGATGTGGAAACTGAGAAACCTGCTGCCCACTTGTGGCGAACTCTGCTATCATATATGCCTACAGTTCTCCACAACTTATTACATATATTTTTTTAAAAAACATTTTAAAAAACACCCTTAGAATATTTTGAAAATTATATCCTTACTTTTACTTTGTTTAAGAGCAAGGAAAGCAGCCTCATGGACTCCTCCCTTTTCTGAGCTATATCGTGTTTCTTCTCTTCCCAATTGGGCATCTTCTCTGTCCACAAATCTTCCGCATCTGTTACCTTCCGCTTTCTTTGGCGTTTTGTATCCCACTCTATCTCCCTTTGCCCATGTTTCTTGTGCTTATGCTTCCTCTTTCCTTCTCCAGTTTTCTTTTCTTCATCATCGCGTCGTTTTCTAGGCAATTATTGATATGGGACAATTTAGGTGTGGGAGGGAAATAATTTTACAGTTTTAACCCTTGCAAGGTAGAAGGGAAGATAAGGAGGCAACAGGAAGGGCTTCCACCCTTGAAATCTGGACACAAGAGAGAACACTTCCTACAAATTTGTGATTTGGAATGTAAACATATATACTTCACACATTCTAAGGAGATGCAAAATGTTTGAAGAACCTCAGGGCAGCTCTCTCTTGCAACATCTTCTGGTCCTAACATTTCCCAGTACTGCATCTAAAGTTACATGAGCTATTTCAAACACTGCCATAAACCATGGTTTGTCATGACAATAATGAACCTAGTCTCCCAACCCTGTCCCTGCCCCCCGGTCCTTCAACGGTGTGGCACTTTTGCTCAGTGGCAGACCTACATTTTGGAAGTTTGAACTGTTAATGCGGGCCCCTACACAATCAGTAACGAGGTCTGGGTACCCACTATTATCTTCAACGGGGTATTCCGTGGCAGATCACCATATATATATATATATATATATATATATATATATATGGGTGTGTGTATTTTTAAAAGTTAACTGCTACATCTCAGATTTTGATTAAAAATGCTGTACTGGACAGATTATCTCACATGTCAAAATCACTGGTGTGAATAAAAAAAACCCTATGCCTTATAGTTTTTGAGTTATGGGAGGGATGTTATATACAGTGCTACCTTGGGTTACATACGCTTCAGGTTACATACGCTTCAGGTTACAGACTCCGCTAACCCAGAAATAGTGCTTCTGGTTAAGAACTTTGCTTCAGGATAAGAACAGTTATCTGGTGCTTCAGGTTAAGAACAGTTTCAGGTTAAGAACAGACCTCCGGAACGAATTAAGTACTTAACTCGAGGTACCACTGTACATGTGTGGCTAAAGTAATTTCTGGGGACCCTCCAAGATTAGGGTCCCTGAAGCTTAGATCCGCCACTGCTTTTGCTATTTTAGATTAGTGATATGGGTTCTCCTGGACTGATTGAAAAGCAAGGATAATTTGCACTGAATACATTTCTGATGCCAATACAATGAACCTGGGAAATAGTGGAATAGATGAGGACAAACAAGCTGAGCTTGGATCCTGGCAAAACAGAGGCACCCTTGTCTGAGAAATTGGTCAGTTCCTACCATGGATGAGGTTGCACTCTCCCTGAAGGAGAAGGTTCACAGACTGAGGTGCTTCCAGATCCACCTACATCACTGGAGGCTCAGGTAGCCTCAGCAGCTGGCAAGGCCCTTTACCAACTACAGCTGGTTCATCAGCTGTGGCCATTCCTGGGCTGGGAAAGCCTTGCCACAGTAGTTCACGCGTTGGTTACATCAATACAGTCATACCTCGGGTTGAAGTAGCTTCGGGATAAGTATTTTCGGGTTGCGCACTGCGGCGACCCGGAAGTAATGGAGCGTGCTACTTCCAGGTTTCGTGCTCGCGCATGCGCAGACGGTCAAAATGACGTCACGAACATGCGCAGAAGTGGCGAATCGTGACCCACGCATGCGCGGATGCAGGTTGCATTCGCTTCTGGATGCGAATGGGGCTCCGGAACAGATCCAGAGGTACCAGTGTACTGGACTACTGCAATGCACTCTACATGGAGCTTCCCTCACATGTGAGCTGGAAAATGCAGTCAGCAATCATGCCACAGCATACCACACTAAGAACCATCTTGTTTAGGCAAGCCTACCCAGATGCTTAGAAAGTTGAGGTGATGTGTGTTTTAACTTTATGTTTTAAAGCATGCTTGTGGTTTTTATTTATTTTCTTGTTATATCTTTTGGTAAACCTCTTTGAAGTTGTTGTTGTTGTTGTTGTTGTTGTTGTTGTTGTTTACAATCAAGCGGTCTATAAATTTTACGAAATGATTAGTAAATAAAAATCTAGTACAGTGGTACCTCGGGTTAAGAACTTAATTCATTCTGTAGGTCCGCTGTTAACCCGAAACTGTTCTTAACCGGAGGTACCACTTTAGCTAATGGGGACTCCCGCTACCACCGCCACACGATTTCTATTCTCATCCTGAAGTAAAGTTCTTAACCTGAGGTACTATTTCTGGGTTAGCGGAGTCTGTAACCTGAAGCGTCTAACCTGAAGCATCTGTAACCCGAGGTACCACTGTATAGCATGTTCACTTATATTTGCTTTTTTAAAAAGCTAAGAAACCCATCTTAAACTTTTCTCCCCAATTCTTACAGAATAGTTTCTACATGTCGTTAATGTTCCTCCGTTAGTGTGTTCATACCTGCAATACTGATAACCTAACAACTTTCTTCCGCCCTTCACTGGCTTCATTATAATGATGCCAAACGCTAGGATTATTCCCCATCACTCCTGAACAGGCATCATTATTACTACTCAGGGAGTGCTCAGATGCACTACGAAAGCTAACAGATTATATACAAACACTTTCACCTTCCCTGGCTCAAGAAAAGAAATAAGACACTCGTCTGGAGGCCCTGTGCATTTGCTGACCTTGGCTCTTCTTTTTTACAGTCAGAGCTACAGACCACTTTGCTTTCAATTTAATCATTGTTCCTAACCTCCAGTCAACATTTCTATGCCTCCACAGGCCAGAAAAAATGGTCTCAAGGCACAGAATGCAGTTCTAAGCAGTTCTGGCCTTGTAAGTTGCTGAACCCTACTGCAGACTGAACAGAGCAGCTAATTCCCAAACTCTGCGCTGTGTGAAAACTGCTAGTATGTCACGTGAGCATATATAATGCTCCTGTGAGTTCAAAAGTACCCAGCCACAGAAGAGGATGCTTCTGGTATCTGTGTGAGTCACTACTCTGATCTTTCCTCCTCCTAACCTGTCACTGGGTGTAAATGGATCATTCTACCACTCCTCATGGAGTAACATAGAACGTCCTGGTCTGAGAGGTCTGTTGTGTCTGTGCATGAATCACTGCTCTGACCTTGCCGTCTTCTAGCTAGGAGGGCCCTTCTAAAGGCAGGTGAATTGTAACGAACATAGTATAAAAGTAGACCTTTTCCAGGAGCATGAATGAAGCACGTCTCTCCAAATTTAATTCGGAGAAAGTGTGCCAGAGTTCTCATAAAGCCTAAGAAGCATTGCAGAAAGGATTTTGTAAGGGTTCTATAGACCTGAACGATTCCTGATGAGAAAAAATATTTTGTAAAATCCTTGTTGATTTTCTAGGAAACAATTTCGGCACGCAGCCAACTCGGACTTCTGTACATAGCGGTGGCTCTCAATGTATGGAGGGGCTATGTACCAGGGGTAGCACCTAAAGCCAAAATTGTGTGTAGTCAAAACACATTGCAACTGGGCTTGCCCAAGTCTTTTTTTCCCCAGACACCCACCCATTTTCTGCCCTGCCTTTGTTAATTTTTTTTTTGCCTACCTCATAAAGCTAAACGCACACAAGTTTAATGAGCATACGTTGCAAATTACCTGTAACCGGAAATCCCTGGGCCTGAGGGTCTGCATTTTATATCCTAATTGCTAAATAGTCTTTAAAAAGGGGAGGGGTGAAATAAAGTCTTGCAAAAGCTGAATTTGCTGAGAGTTTCGTAAATCTAGTGTTACTATTTCAGTCTTTTGGCATAACAACTTTTGTTCTGAATGCAACAAAGAAGGTGGAGCCCAAGGCTCCCTGCAGAATAAGAACATATGTGCTCAGATGCAATCTGGCATTGAAGAAGCCCTCTGGAGAGCCAAGGAAGGTTGAGAAAACAAGTGGTGACACACATTTATCTTTGAACTCAGCAGCAAAAGCTAAAAACCAAATTACATTATATTCTCTCACAAAAATTGATCTAACTTCAGTGTAGGCATAATGCTGTTATACAGAATTTCAGCAATTGATAAAACAAACCAAATTGCAAAAAAAGGTCTTATACAACTATGCGCCTAAGGTTCATCCTCATACAGAACCGCCACTTGTTATCTATTAACGTAAAGCAAAGGACATATTGCCCTTTCACTGAAGGAAAGTTTCTATTTGTTAATTACCATGAGGAGGCAACTCTGAACTAATAGAAAAGAACTAAGCATCTATGGAAAAATTCATGCAGCTATATAACCAACAGCTAAAATGGCAAAAATATCCTTTTTGTTCCCCTTGGCAGAATCAGGAAGTCTTTGAACAGTAAAATGGCAGAATTTGGAGTCTGCTGGATTTTCAGTCGCCCAATAACAGCTACCTGAAGGAGCGTCTCCACCCGCATCGTTCAGCCAGGACACTGAGGTCCAGTTTTGAGGGCCTTCTGGCGGTTCCCTCACTGCGAGAAGCAAAGCTACAGGGAATCAGGCAGAGGGCCTTCCTGGTAGTGGCTCCCACCCTGTGGAACGCCCTCCCATCAGATGTCAAGGAAATAAACAACTATCTGACAGCTGAAGGCAGCCTTGTATAGGGAAGTTTTTAATGTTTGATTTTTTGGTGTGTTTTTAATATTCTGTTGGGAGCCGCCCAGAGTGGCTGAGGAAACCCAGGCAGATAGGTGGGGTATGGATCTATTATTAATTGTTAATTATTAATTATTAATTATTAATTATTATTATTATTATTATTATTACTACTACTACTACTACTATCTGATTGAAGCATGTTTTGAATAGCAGGACATGAAATTAGTAACCAGATAGTAATCCCATGGCCAAAAGTTGGACTGTTTATATCTTGCTAGTTTTCTCCAGTAATCTAGATGTCTTTACTATCAAGTTTACAGCTACAGATACTGTTTTGAGTTTGTGGGTGCCAGAGTCTTCAAACCCAGGTACTAGCAAGTGTTCAAAACTACTCAAACCAAGCTAGCCTCCTAGTAAGGAGAGCAAAGGAAGGGGGGGGTTCTGTGGAAGGCAGAGTTTAGGAGTGATATGATCTAGCTGCAGACTGGAAAGCTAGAGAGGCAGAGCACAATGTTTGATGTCTACTAAATCTAAGGCTATGGCTATGGTAGAAGCAAGACCCTCTTGGGGTGTTAATGCTGTGAACCCCTCCATCGTAGGTTCAGGCTGCATATATGTGTAAATAAACCATATATCCTACAGACATACAGTCCCCACTGTGCCTCATTTCCAAAAGAAAACACAAACCCTGGGTTAAGTGCCCGGAGCCCCTGGAATCTCACGCTGATTGGAGATTGGGATGGCACCTAGCACTATTAACAGCTGCAGATAAAACATGAAGTGAGAAACAGTGTTTTGATGTTTGCAGCCTTCTGTTAAAAGTCCTTCAGCTTTATCAGTTACACTGAAATGTACTTTAGGGAAGACAGTAAAATAATCATGGTTATGTGAATGCTACAGGAGCACACATTTTAGTAACGGGTAAACAAATTAATTTCCCAAGACTCAACTTTCATTTGTTTGTTTTAGGCTAAGACCCTACCTGCCCGCGAACTGTCTCGCCAGAGTGGTGCATGCTCTAGTTATCTCACGCTTGGACTACTGCAATGCGCTCTACGTGTGGCTACCTTTGAAGGTGACCCGGAAACTGCAATTAATCCAGAATGCAGCAGCTAGACTGGTGACTGGGAGTGGCCGCCGGGACCACATAACACCGGTTCTGAGAGATCTGCATTGGCTCCCAGTACGTTTCCGAGCACGATTCAAAGTGTTGGTGCTGACCTTTAAAGCCCTAAACGGCCTCAGTCCTGTATACCTGAAGGAGCGTCTCCACCCCCCATCGTTCAGCCCGGACACTGAGATCCAGCGCTGAGGGCCTTCTGGCGGTTCCCTCATTGCGAGAAGTGAGGCTACAGGGAACCAGACAGAGGGCCTTCTCGGTAGTGGCGCCCGCCCTGTGGAACACCCTCCCATCAGATGTCAAAGAGATAAATAATTACCTGACATTCAGAAGACATCTTAAGGCAGCCCTGTTCAGGGAAGTTTTTAATATGTAACGCTGTACTGTTTTTAACACTGATTGGGAGCCGCCCAGAGTGGCTGGGGAAACTCAGCCAGATGGGCGGGGTATAAATAATAAATTATTATTATTATTATTATTATTATTATTATTATTATTATTATTATTATTATTATTATTTGTTTTAAAAGAAATGTTTCTAGCCCTCATGGCAACGAGCATATTATGTATAAATGCCTGCTGAAATCTCGGGAGGCAGAAAGGTGTCTGGAAAAGATTTCAAGTACTTGGGGGCAAGTTTTCCATTATCTCACATAGATATCCCAATAACTAAACAAAATCTGAATTATTCTTAACTAATAAAATGGCTAAAAAAGGGAAAGTACGCAGATTTTCTCTCCTTGCATAAACTTAGGTAAGTCACAAGGTCCAGCTGATTTTGGTACACAATGTCAGCTGCCATTATGCAAAGAAAAGGTATGGAGCCCTCACAGCCACAAAAAACAATCCTCTTATCTCAGTTTCCCCACTAACAGGGCATGCTCAATCTTGTCTTTAAGAGAAAAAAGAAAAAGCCACAGAGATTCCTCACCTTTCAGTCCTTTTCCCCCCTCTGTCTTCGTTCCTCTTTCGCCCTCTCTCTAGTTCTTGCAGAGTTATTTTTTCCAGGTTTCTCTGATTTACAGCAGTATCACTGAAATGATCAGTAGTATCAGACGTCACCTGTTTAAAAATCAAAGAAGTACAAATTGTAGTATCGCTCACTCAAGCATACAAAATCTACAAGGTCTCCAGAGCCAATTTCAAGATCTCAAATAGAACACAGGGAGCCTTAACAACATCGGGACATTCCCTAAACCACTTTGGCTCAACTATCTCCATACCAGAAAGAAGGCCTTTGCTATGCAGTCCAACACAGATGACATACGGGTGGCAGGGAGACTCATGCTCAAGTAAAGGAAGTTGTGCTACTGAGAAATAACTGCTTGTGACTGTAACCCAGCATGAACACAAACACTTCCCACCTGGTCCCTATGCCACACTGCAAGCTTCTATTTTTGGAGCTGGAGGTTGGAATTATAAAGGCAGTTTAAAGGTTCAGTTGGGATAGGGTGTAAACAGAATACAGGTGTCATGTGAAGGTACCCATGGGATATCCCTAAGGCTCTGAAAACCAGCTGTTATTTGCCCTCAATTTTAAAATGGGAATTGGGCATCTTTCAAACCTCTCCCATATTAAAAACCACAGTGCTGAAAATGAAAAGAACTAAAAGGTGTCCGTGTAACTAGGCTACATACATTTAATAAAATCAAATCCAAGTAATCTAAGAGGTGAACAAAGTGAAATTATTTTCAAAGCTGCAATTGTATACCCATTAAAGACCAAACATGGAAATAATGCTGAAAGATATTCCAGTTAGGTAGCCCCAGAAAAATGCATATTTTTTAGGAAGTTGTGATTTACTCTCAGTAATCATTCAAAGTTTCTGTATATGGAAGCAGATGCCCCATATAAAGAAGACCAAACCTGTCAAAACCATATGGCAGCGGGGGGTGTGTGTGTGTGTGTGAATTGTGCTCTTCAGTTCTGCTCCAATGAGTTGTGAGACCCCTTGCAACAGCATGGAAGTGGGTATAGGAGGTTGTAGGAGAGATAGGCAAACATCTCTTCACCTCCTCTTCCATTAGTGCTGGCTTCTGCAAGACTCTTCCACAAATGGAAGGACTCCTGTTTCCTAAAGCATGTGGTTTCCAGAGGTTGTTGAATTGCAGCTCCCATCAACTTTGAGCCAATATGGCTATTGGTCAAGGATGACAAATGCTGTAGCCCAGCAGCCTTGGAGAGCCACAGGTTCCCCATCCCTGGCACAACACAAAAACTCTGGTGCCACCTGAAAGGGTGGCAGATTAATTGTGGAACATGACTCCCACCATCAGATGCATGAAAAATTTAATTCAGCATATCCTTTCATGGGACTAGATTCCACATCACTAGGCACTTCCACCTATGGTAGAAAATAGTTCATAATGCCTATGCCAAAATAAAACTGCCAGCCTTTCAGGTGGCATAAGACTTGGTAGTTTTTACAGCAATAGACTAAAAATAGCTACTCCTAAGCAATACTTCTTACCTTGATGTAACATGCAAGAGCTTTTCCATCATCCCCTTTAAACACCAGCTTCATTCCCTTAAATGTCTCCATAGCTTTTGAACAAGATGAGGACTCCTGGTATTGGACAAAAGCTTCAAATGTCCGCAGGTTCAAAAGGGAACGCAAAGTCAAATTATTCATGCGTGCTCCCACTTCTTCCCTATAAGGGTCAAGCATAGGGATATCTATGTTCTTGATCTTCCCAAAATTTTCAAACACTGCTCTCAAGACATCTTTCCTTGGTGATTCACTACCTGAGCCTTTCACTGCAAACCATTTGCATGGCAATCCTTCCAAATAGATGCAACCAGGACTATCCTTGCTTTGCTCTGCTAAGTCTTCCTCTGGCAATTCTCTAGTGGGTTCCAACTCCTGAGGAGCTGGCGGATTGGAAGGTGGCTCCATGACAACCACTTGCAAATCATCTTTGAAGCCACTGAGGTTTATCATCTTGCCATGAAGCTTCTCCTTCAGCCTACAAAACACGCGATTGGTGTCTGCCTCTCCCTCACACAGAATGAAACCCTTAGTGTTCTTGGTAACCTTAACACTGGCGAACCGGTCTGGACAAACCATTTTCTTCAGCTTTTCAATCACTTCCCACTTTGGGACTATGTAGGTAGGTCCGGTGGGTTCTGGAAGCACTATACAGATTGTCATTTTCACTACTGGCATAACATAGAGTCGATGAAAAGCACAGAACTCCATAGTTTCTGAGGTATCATATACTACAGTGTGGTTCATGATGTCCAGAGGTCCCTTAGAAAAACAATTAAAGAGGAGCAGTTATGATAAAGAGCAAATAAAGAATGCTCCTTTATATTCTACATAGTTACTAGGATCAGCTGCTTGCACCATGCAAACAGTGCAAGGTGACATTAAACACAGCTGTCATTCATACCAGCCTCTTTCAAGCTGGACTTGTGTTTTCCAAATTTCTGACAAGTACACTATTTTCTGAATTAAAATTAGAGGCACATTTAGACCTAAAACTGTTTGCTCTTGCAGAATGACCCTATCTTTGCAAATTTACTTTGAATGAAGGGCCTTCTATTTCAATGGAGCTCACTGCGATTGCAACCTTGCTTGTTTGCTGTTTTAAAGGTTATCTTCTAAAAGCACAAAATATCTTTTAAATGATATACAGTCATCTTAGAAATGGCATACAATCATCCTAAAGTGTTGGTAGGGAAGAGATATAATACACACTGTGAGGAGTGTTAAATACAACACACAGTCCCAATAGGACCTCTTATTGAACTACGGAAGAGTCTGAAATTAAATCCAAACTCCCAGCAAAACGCACGCACATAAAAAACTATGCAGATACAAAAAAAGCATTTGCAGCTGAAATACACACCACTCCTGGATAAATCACTAAGCATGTCACAGAATGCCAACCAAGAACCAATTTGAAAGAAACCCAGTAAGATAACCAAGAAACCAAGTAAGATAAAATACACACTCATGGCACGTTGCAAACTATGTTTACCCAGAAATGAGTTCCACTGGTCTTGCTCCCTAGCAAGTGTAATCAGGACTACACCCTTCAAGCTCTAATAGCCATGAAAGAATTGCAGCTAATGTATCCAAAGCTCTCTTTAAAATTAAAATTGAACTGCTGGGGAAATGGTATAAAAATATTTTAACAAAGTCTGACACAAACTACACAAAAACTGCTTTCTGAAACTTTACACATCTACAAATATATATATAAACACAGCTTAGTAATTCTAGCAAATGGGTACTTTAGGAAAAGTCTCTAGACTTAACTAAGCTATTTCCAATACATGAGAACATGTAAACTGTACAAGTCAAACGTTCTTTTCTGTTAAAAATAAAATGACTATTGCTTTTAAAGAGCATCTGCAGTAATCAAAAACCATTCTGTCTTCTTAGACAACCCACAGTCAAGTCAAGCAGTGCAGTTACATGGATGAACTAGTTTCCATTAACATGGCAAAGAAATGCTTCCACAATTCACTCACAACTATGTCAAGTTTCAAGGCAAGATACACATACTGTATATGTGTACTTACTGCTTCATTTATAAGAAAGGTCAAGTGCATAAGAAGTCTACACTCCAAGTTTAGTTTAACATAACTTAGGGAAATCTGTTCCTCACACTCCATGCTATAATTAATTACACACCTTGGAATGCAGTTTACTTCGAAAGGCAATATAATCCAGTCATTTTTTTTTATCTTGAGATTTTCTGGCTTTTCAGAATACAAGTCATGAATTCCATTCCTCCACACTGTAGTATGTTTCCCTTCTCAGTCCTCTAGTTTGTCTTTAAGCTCTGCACTAGAAATCATGATATTCTGATTTGTATAGTTTGGATTCTCTCCTAAAATGCCATAGTTCTCAACAGATTTATGTATTTTTTTTTGTATTCAAGTCAGAGCATAACAAAATACTCCTCAGTCTAGTCCTTTTGCTATATTAATGTGTTAGGGAAAGTATACTGGCAAATCCTTGCCAGCTCTCTTCTGAGATGTCAGGGTCCAAATTGCAAGACTCAAGGGAAACTGGAGCAAATAATAAAATGCAGCTGCTGGCAAAGCCATCACCTGTTCCCATCCTTTAAAAAAACACCTTGATCACAGGTGTACACCCACATGTGCTGCTGCTTATCTTGCTTCTTAATAAACATCCCAGTAAAATACATACACCCAATGAAGTTCAAACACAACGCTGAAATGGGCTATATAATGTCCTTTGCCATACTTCAAAACAATAACCAGAAAGCATCCTATCTTAAAAATTAAAATCACACAGAAGAGAATTGGAGTGTAGCACATATAAATAACTTCTTGATAGCCTGGTAAGTGTCCAATGATGCTGGGGAAAACCTCAACTACAGTAGCAGACTCATCTGCCTGTATCTTGGTTCCCATTGGTAAACTTGGACTGTTAGGACTTTCGTTCCACAAACAGAAGAGGAAGTTTTATGAAGCAAATCAAAAAGAAATTTGTTCCTATCTTCAATAATACTGCATGATGGTAGACACCGGAGAGGAATTTATGGCTGAGCAGAAGATTATAGTGAAAGCTATATACAACCTGCACCATAATGGTCCAGCTGCAACACTGCATGGTAATGCAACTGACCTTTTAGCGGTTAGCAGTAGACTTGCACTAGTACTGTCATGCTGCAGTGTGGGTTGTAACATAATTCAACCCCTTCTTCCTAAACACAGGCATCCTATTTTGCTTCCATCTTCACAGTCCCTTCTCCAGAATCTGTCCACCCAACTCTGTGCATCTTCAAGGATGGCATACTGTTTTTACATAACTGTACTTTATATTACTTTAGCCTTAGAAAAAGACAAGACAGAAACACCCTGATGCTCCTCTTCCTCCTATCCACCGTTCTCATCCCTTATACATGGACCCATCACTGTCAAAATATCATTACATTTGCTGATATGATAGGATGACATGATGCCCTTTCTTCTGCAAGCAGGAAGAGTATTCTCAGCAACTGTGCCCTTCTTGTGGCAGGCCATTTGTGGAAAGGCTTGCCTTTCACCTATTCTGAAATTATTTTGGGACCATCAAATACTTTATTATTCCAGGCTTTTAAACTAATTTTACTGGTCCTATCTACTCTGAATTTTGAGTGCTGTTCTTGTGAATTTTGCTGTTCTTAGTGTGTTTTTGTTAGTTACCCTGATAACTCTATTGAAGGATTTTAAAAGATAATAAAATTAAGGAGCTATTTGGTTTTATTTTTACCCTTTTATCTCCCCAGGGTCTCGGTGAGGCAAAAAAGACTAAAACACACACTGGAAATATTGTGGGGTCATGGCAGTTAGGCCAATATTATGCCAATTTATGATTAACCAAGATCACTCTATTATGTGATCAAGCATAGTCAAGCAGAAATTTGACCCTTCTCCTGAATCCAAGCCTAACATTGGCTCTTCCTAAACCCTATCAATACTTGGAGATACCAGTTCCTGCTTCCCATAACATATAAATCCACCCCTCCTTTCAATCTAGATATGCAGTCTTCAATCATCTGCTTCCTTCAATTCATATGTAAAAGGGAGCATAGCTCCCTCTGGTGTATATGCCACAGAAAGGCACTAGAGTAAATTGTAAAACAAAGTTCCCACAAATTGAGTCTATTCGGCCACGGCCCAGTATACCTGAGTCTCTAAACGGCCTCGGCCCAGTATACCTGAAGGAGTGTCTCCACCCCCATCGTTCTGCCCGGACGCTGAGGTCCAGCACCAAGGGCCTTCTGGCGGTTCCCTCATTGCGAGAAGCAAAGCTACAGGGAACCAGGCAGAGGGCCTTTTCGGTAGTGGTGCCTGCCCTGTGGAACGCCCTCCCATAAGATGTCAAAGAGATAAACAACTATCTGACATTCAGAAGACATCTTAAGGCAGCCCTGTTCAGGGAAGTTTTTAATGTGTGACATTTTAGTGTCTTTTTGGTCTCTGTGGAAGCCGCCCACAGATTATTATTATTATCCATAAAATGAGACCTCCACTACCCTCAGCTTTCAATACTGGACTTCACAACACCTCTTCTTCCTCATCCACATATATTATGTTCCCCTTAGATAAGCTGCTGCTTCCTAAGCCCACCCCCAAATAACACCTTCCCCCAGGTATTGCCCTATGTACAAAAATAGAAAGCTGAGCTCTTTTTCCTTCAATCCACCCTGAAGCATTTCCACATTACATATATGTGACCCAAACACTTCTAATCAGTGGGCCTCTCAGTACATCCTCATCTTGCAGCACATGCACCCAAACGTACACACACTGCACATGCGGTCCTTCTCACATACAGCTCTAATAACACATGCAGAGGCAAACACACCCTACACGGCCAAGCCCAAATCATGAGCAGGCTTCAACTATTTCCCTAGGCCCAAACGGCTTTCTTGCTCCAAAGAGCTTTCTTGCTCTTCTTTCATACAGCAACAAGTCCCTCTTTAAATTATACACAGTAATGCAGCCATAGACCACTCCACAGGTCCTCAGCTTCCTGCACCCCAGCACCACAGAGCTGACAGACCCTAAAGTTATTCAACGTGCTTTTTCTCCCCCCCCCCAACGCCCATGACTCCTTGAGCCAATTCAGAAAGCAGCACAATCCATTCAAGAGGCCTCTAATCCCCACAGCCCAATCCTAATAATGTCTCACACCCCACAGAGTGCTGGCCCACTCCACTATCCTAGGGCTTGCACATTGATCCTTCTTTCACACCTCTAGGGCAACAAATAACCCTCTCTACTACCACGGCCCACTCATCTCCTTAAGGAAAGGCCTTTGCTGCAATTGTGGTGTAGTGGCTGTACAGTGTGAAGACTAGGGCTGGGGAGACCCGAGTTCAAATCCCCACGCAGCCATGTAGCTCAGTGGGTGGTCATGAGACAATCTCCCAGTCTAACTTGCTTCAGAGCTGTTTTGGGGATAAAACTGGAGCCAAGTGAGTTGGCTGAAGAGCCATAAATGCCATAGTCTCCCACAACCCAGCCCCACACAGAGCTTTCCTCACACGGTCCAGAGAGAGCAAAGTAACTGTACCTCGCAAACCCTTCTTGCCCAAGAAAGGGCTTCCAAAGCCTATAAAGACCCCCACACATAAACCCACTAAGCGAACCAGACCCATGTGTCAGGCAACCATCCACACGCAGAGCCTTGCTTATGCCCCACAGAGTGCTAACCCCATTATACTTTCCACTATCCCCTTTCTTCCATCGCATAGGGTTCCCTTACCCATACAAAAACCACCACAAACCCTCTCCACTGCTAAGGAACATGCTTCTTTCCTTGCCCTAAAGCCCTAGACCACCCCCCAAGCCACCCACCCCCTGCACCCCTAGACCACCCCAAGCCATGCAGTCAGGCCACCTACCCCCTAAAGCCCTAGACCACCCCCAAGCCACCCACCCCCTGCACCCCTAGACCACCGCCCAAGCCATGCAGTCAGGCCACCCACCCCCTAAAGCCCTAGACCACCCCCAAGCCACCCACCCCCTGCACCCCTAGACCACCGCCCAAGCCATGCAGTCAGGCCACCTACCCCCTAAAGCCCTAGACCACCCCCAAGCCACCCACCCCCTGCACCCCTAGACCACCCCAAGCCATGCAGTCAGGCCACCCACCCCCTGCACCCCTAGACCACCGCCCAAGCCATGCAGTCAGGCCACCCACCCCCTAAAGCCCCAGACCACCCCCAAGCCACCCACCCCCTGCACCCCTAGACCACCCCCAAGCTACCCACCCCTAAAGCCCTAGAATCACCCCCAAGCCATGCAGGTCAGGCCACCCACCCCCTAAAGCCCCAGACCACCCCCAAGCCACCCACCCCCTGCACCCCCAGACCACCCCCAAGCTACCCACCCCCTAAAGCCCTAGATCCCCCCAAGACATGCAGTCAGGCCACCTACCCCTAAAGCCCTAGCCATGCAGTCAGGCCACTCCACCCCCTAAAGCCAGACCACCCCCCAAGCCACCCACCCCCTGCACCCCTAGACCGACCCCCAAGCTACCCACCCCCTAAACCCTAGACCACCCCAAGGCCATGCAGTCAGGCCACCCACCCCCTAAAGCCCGCAGACCACCCCCAAGCCACCCCACCCCTGCACCCCCAGACCACCCCCAAAGCTACCCACCCCCTAAGCCCATAGACCACCCCACAGCCATGCAGTCAGGCCACCCACCCCCCTAAAGCCCCAGCCACCCCCAAGCCACCCACCCCCTGCACCCTAGGACCACCCCCAAGCTACCCACCCCCTAAAGCCCTAGACCACCCCAAGCCATTGCAGTCAGGCCACCCACCCCCTAACCCCAGACCACCCCAAAGCCACCCACCCCTGCACCCCCAAGGACCACCCCCAAGCTACCCACCCCCTAAAGCCCTAGATCACCCCCAAGACATGCAGTCAGGGCCACCACCCCCTCAAAGGCCCCTAGCCATGCAGTCAGGCCACCCACCCCTAAAGCCCCCAGACACCCCCAAAGCCCCCACCCCCTGCACCCCTAGACCACCCCCAAGCTACCCACCCCCTAAAGCCCTAGACCACCCCAAGCCATGCAGTCAGGCCACCCACCCCCTAAAGCCCCAGACCACCCCAAGCCACCCACCCCCTGCACCCCAGACCACCCCCAAGCTACCCACCCCCTAAAGCCCTAGACCACCCCAAGCCATGCAGTCAGGCCACCCACCCCCTAAAGCCCCAGACCACCCCCAAGCCACCCACCCCCTGCACCCCCAGACCACCCCCAAGCTACCCACCCCCTAAAGCCCTAGACCACCCCAAGCCATGCAGTCAGGCCACCCACCCCCTAAAGCCCCAGACCACCCCCAAGCCACCCACCCCCTGCACCCCCAGACCACCCCCAAGCTACCCACCCCCTAAAGCCCTAGACCACCCAAGCCATGCAGTCAGGCCACCCACCCCCTAAAGCCCTAGACCATCCCCAAGCCACCCACCCCCTGCACCCCAGACCACCCCCAAGCTACCCACCCCCTAAAGCCCTAGATCACCCCCAAGCCATGCAGTCAGGCCACCCACCCCCTAAAGCCCTAGACCACCCCCCAAGCCACCCACCCCCTGCACCCCCAGACCACCCCCAAGCTACCCACCCCCTAAAGCCCTAGATCACCCCCAAGCCATGCAGTCAGGCCACCCACCCCCTAAAGCCCTAGACCACCCCCAAGCCACCCACCCCCTGCACCCCAGACCACCCCCAAGCTACCCACCCCTAAAGCCCTAGATCACCCCCAAGCCATGCAGTCAGGCCACCCACCCCCTAAAGCCCTAGACCACCCCCAAGCCACCCACCCCCTGCACCCCCAGACCACCTCCAAGCCACCCACCCCCTGCACCCCCAGACCACCCCCAGACCACCCACCCCCTGCACCCCTAGACCACCGCCCAAGCCATGCAGTCAGGCCACCCACCCCCTAAAGCCCTAGACCATCCCCCAAGCCACACACCCCCTGCACCCCTAAAGCCCTAGACCACCCCAAGCCATGCAGTCAGGCCACCTACCCCCTAAAGCCCTAGACCACCTCCAAGCCACCCACCCCCTGCACCCCCAGACCACCCCCAGACCACCCCCCCTGCACCCCTAGACCACCCCCAAGCCATGCAGTCAGGCCACCTACCCCCTAAAGCCCCAGACCACCCCCCAAGCCACCCACCCCCTGCACCCCTAGACCACCCCCCAAGCTACCCACCCCTGCACCCCTAGACCACCCCCAAGCTACCCACCCCCTAAAGCCCTAGACCACCCCAAGCCATGCAGTCAGGCCACCCACCCCCTAAAGCCCCAGACCACCCCCAAGCTACCCACCCCCTAAAGCCCTAGGCCACCCCAAGCCATGCAGTCAGGCCACCCACCCCCTAAAGCCCTAGACCACCCCCAAGCCACCCACCCCCTGCACCTCTAGACCACCCCCCAAACCATGCAGTCAAGCCACCCACCCCCTAAAGCCCTAGACCACCCCAGCGGGCGGCGGCAGGGGACCAAGACCGTCCACGGCTTCCTAGGGATGATTCCGGCCAGCAGGCCTCCCTCCCCCAACCACGCCGACGACCCCGGCCCACCTCCCCCTTCTTCCCCGCCCCACAGGTGCTCCCGGCGAAGCCCACAGTTACAGCCCCGAAACCTTCTCCGCGGCAAAACCCACCCCCGGGGGCAGAGGCCGGCCAGCGCTCCCCCATAGTCCATCCAGCCCCATTCCCCCCCCGGCGCTTCGCCCCCTCCCTCCCCCGCCCGCCCCCGCCTCCCAGGGCAGGCCTCGAAGGGCGACTGCCGAGCCCCCCGCTCCGCTGCACGGCGTCCCCCAGCAGCATCCCTCCCGACCCTCCTACCGGGGAGAGGCCTAGTCGCTGGCGGAGGGCGAAGCCGGACCCGCGGCTGGCTTCCCCCTCTTACCGGAGGCCTCCGCCGCCTCTCCCGCCGCCGCCCCCAAACCGGCTCCTCGCGGCCTCTTGCTCGGGCCTCCCCGGGGCGGAGCGCGCCGGGCCCCGCTACCCGCGGGGGAACGGGGGAGCCTTTGCTTGCCGGAGCCCCGGAGCCTCCTTCTTCTCCTCCTCCTCCTCCTCCTCGCTTGTCAAAGGGACGTTGCCTCGCCGCTGGGAAGCCGAGCGAAGCCAGGAGCCCCTCGGACGCCCAGCGCTGGTTGCAATTTATTGCCCGCAGGTAGAGGTGGCCCACCCACTCAGTTTCCGTGCGGA